TCTTCTCCAGTTTGCCCCTGAAGAAAAAAGGTCCACCTTTTGAAAGTGCTCGGGTTATATGGTTTTTATTCATTTATACAGATTAATAACAGTCAGTCACTTGTTGTTGCAGTACCTAAAGTACATCATTTTAGATTAAAAGTTCTGGGGTTGGTAAACTATAGTTACATAGAAAACATTCCTTTGAAGTAGTAGTATTTGTATCAAGTAAATTCTCGGTTAGCTGTGATTACTTGGTGTGCAGCCATTTGTCGTAATGCTAGAAAATATTTAATAGTATTAGTGAAATGCTAGAAAATATTTAATAGTATTAGTGAAATGCTAGTAAAATAATGAGAATTATAGTAGATGAGGAAATCACCTCTCTCATTACACCTTATCATATGACCCTATAAATGTATAAATACGTATTTTTTATGTAAGTAACCTATAATTTTAATAAACCTTTATTAGTTATATAAACAGGAAATTCCCTTTATTCAATTTCCTCCAGTTTTCCAGCTGCAAGCTTAAGAATTTGTGGTATTCTTTGGTAAACTGATTACCTGGCAGATAGAAACAGTAACGGCAAAATATTGTTACGACAGCGGAAGTCACGTGACTCTGGTAACAAGTAATGAGTATCTAGAAGGTTCCTGAAGGCTCGAGTGTTTGCCAGATGCCCTCTATTTTGTATACATAAGACTGGCAAGAAGTGACGGCATATATTTTTGCAGACAGGCAGAGACAGAGAGGGACAGTTGAGTCAAGCACGGTAGTGACCGTAAGTAAAGTGCATGAATCGTTGTGAATTACAGCGTGTGTTGAAGTTAAAGTGACTGTGGAAATTAAGTGTATTGCAAAGTTGTATTGAGAAAGAATAAACTAGTTTTATTTAATTGTTTGTTTGTTTGTTTTGTAATTAAGCACAAAGCTACACAATGGGCTATCTGTGCTGTGCCCACCACGGGTATCGAAACCGGGATTCTAGCATTGTAAGTCCGCAGACATACCGCTGTGCTACTGGGAGGCTTTTTTATTTAATAAAAGACTTGTATCGCTAAAGTTTCATCCGAAAGAAATTATACGGGAAATTAACAAACGAACACAGAGACATAACAATATGTTATGCGGAATTAAATTTGAGATTCTGAGTCTAACTGAGTTAAAGAAAAACTAAACACAATGTAAGAAACAAAGTAAAAAGTCGTTTTTATTAAATCAAAACACTAAAAAATATACAAGTGCAGGAAAACACTATGCAGCGTTATTCCCTAAATGAGAGGGCTCTTTAAACCAGAAATACTGAAGGAAATTTAAAATCAATATTGATAAGACTATATACAGAAAACAATATTGTTAACTCTCCTTGAGCACATATGTTACTCATGCCATTGGTCGTTCCGCCAGAAAGAAAAATATGTAGAATATACCATCGTAGTATCACATGGTCCAAAATATAAGGAAACTACCTAGCATACAAATCTACACACTTATAGAGCGATCTCTTTCAAGAGAAAGCTTTGGGAGAATGGACTGTGTGGTAGTATATTCAAGTAAAACAGAGTAATGAGATAGGTCTACTTAATATTCAGTAAAAATACCTATTATAAGGTAATACGATATTTCTCAGTACAGAGTCATGACAATGAAATAAGGAGACTGGAAACAAAGTCAACAATCTTAATTACATCACATGTAAAACACACATGCAGTGAGTGTACTTGATTTATTGACTATCCCTTTTACTATATATTGTTACGTCTCCGTTTGTC